AAAGCAGATGCCAAGACTTGAGTAGAATTTGTGGTGTGTGAAAGGGGACCTACTCCTTGTTATCAGGAAATCTTTTGGAGGAAAAATGGTCTAATTGTCCAAATTTTTAGTGTTAACAAAATGCCTGTTATGAAGGAGAGAGCCCATCACCAAACTGATCTAAAGCCTTTGGGGGGAAAATTTTTACTCTCCTCTTTGAGAAATGCAAATGAATGGGACAGGTCATTTTAGAACCAGTGGGTCACCAGCCTCCTATTAACTAAAAGAAACAAAGACATACAAGGTGGAAATATTCCTCATTTTCTGGAGAAATTCTGCCTTTTATTCTTTTCAGCTTTTAAAACTGATCACCTATCCTGCTCCTTCTTGCATTATGTTCTATAGGAAATCCTTTCTAACATGCAAGCTGTTCAAAAAACAAAATTTTATTTGAAGCAGCTAGTCCAAAAGGGCTTCATCAAGCAGAGCCCATTCCAAAACAGCAGGCTTCATTTTCTGGACCCAGAGGACAGAATTATACAGCAAGGCTCTAGGTGATGGTGGAAATAATGTGATGTGTATGGGGAAAGAGAGGGCTGTTATATTCGTTCTCTAACCCTATGTAAGAAATTACCCCAAAACTTGTCACCTTAAAATAATAAAATTTATTATTTGACAGTTTCTGAGAGTCAGGAATCCAGGGGCAGTTTAGCTGGGTGGTTTCCAGCTCAAGGTGTCTCATGAGGTGGTAGTCATCTCAAGGTCTGCCTGGAGCTGAAGGATCTGCTTCCATGTGGTTTTTGGCAAGAGGTCAGGGGCCTCCATGACTTCACCGTAAGGCCTCTCCATAAACTTTCTCAGTATCCTCCTAATATGGCTTTCCACAAAGTAAGTGATCCAACAAAGTAGGCACCAAGACAAAGCCAGTCTTTTTATAACCTGTTCTTAGAAGTGACTTCCCATCATTTCTGCCATATTCTGTTCTTAAGAAGCAAGTCTAGCCCACACTTCAGGAGAGGAAAAATAAGTTCTACCTCTTGAAGGGGAGGAGTATAAAAGAATTTATGAACAAATTTTTAAAACAACTGCTATATATGATCCAAGTTACCTAAACCTGGTCTCTAGTCTGCTCTTTGGTGTACAGCAGAGGTCAGCAAAGAACCAGAGAGTAAATATTTTAGGCATTGTGGATCAGACTCTCTATTCCAGCTATTTAACAATGCCATTATATTGCAAAATAGCTATAGGCAATCCATCAGTAAATGAGTGTGGCTTTGTTAAAGGAACACTTTATTTACACAAACAGGCAGCAGGCTGGATTTGGCACAGGAGCAGTAGTATGGCCCTTGATAGCTATAGAGGTTACTGGAAGTCTAGCTTATGCAGTGACTGGTTCCTTGCTATCATCATCTTCACAGAAATTCATCTAAGATATTATGGTTCTCTGATCTGCCGCCATCATGTCTCTGCACCTCAAAATTTAGTGGTAAGACAACAGGAAGACAGAAAAGCAAATCTGAGCGATTTAGGTGGAGAAAACCTCAGCACATAGACAATAAGAATATAAGGAGAGCTGGCTTGGTACAACAGGGGTAAGACAGTGTCTTTATTCCATTGAATCACTAAGATTGAGATAAGGCAAGAAGTCTGAGAGGAAATATTCTCTAAACAATTGGAACTGTGGGCCTAGACTACGGCAGTGGGATTCTGCAACAACGGGTGAATTAGGGGATCCATCTTCATAAGGCTTCTACAGCTCCAAAAGAACCATGAGTTCACCAAAAGAGTGAATGTACAGGAGGAAATTGAGACTTGTGCATATCAGAGAGGGGGTAGATGGTAGAAGCTTCCCAGAGAGAGGTGGGGAATATATATGGGACATTAAAACTTCAGAGCTAGATGCCACCTTACACTGTGGGATGGGGGATGAGGGATGGGGGTAACCCCTCAGTTTGCAACATTCACAAACTTCAAGTGATTATTTTTAGTTAGCATAGGGTTACAACATGTAAGTTCTTAGGCCTAATCTCCTCCTCCTTGTTCCTGCAGTTTGATTTAAAAAATACTGTATTAACTCGTTTCTCAGAGCTGTTTATATTACTTATTATATGATCAAGTCAATAGGGCTAGGAATTCTACTCTCCTTCACATGAATTCACTTGGAATGGAAATTTAAAATCATATAAGGTAGATAATTTCTTGCCTAAATAACATATTCTCTAATACATAGCTGACCCATCCCACCATTTAAGAGTTATGTTTTACTTTTCTCAGCCAAAACCATAGCTACTGGTCACTTTTAAGTTCGATTTAAAGACCAAATCTTATCCCTTTAATGAGATATGCTTTGGAAGTGAACAACACTCTGCTGATACACGATTTCTCACAGTGGTTTGTTCGCTTTCACGCTACCATATGGCCTACCAGACCCTATCCATGCCTGGATAACTGGGCACTCCCCTTTGTTTTGTAAAGCTTTTCTCCCTCTTGTTCTGAATCTAAACAAAAAAGTAAAAACTTGTATTGCTGAAGCTTTGTTTGCAAGAAATGTGCAACTTCCTTTGAAATGATTTCATTGAATTTAAACTTATTCCTATAAATTCTGAGGTATAAAGTGACATGGGAACAATGTTTCCCCTTTTTAATGTGATCATACCTGGGAACAATACAAAGACTTGGAACTTAAGGCCTCTAGATTCTTGCCTTGTGATGGAGTGTGTGTAAGTTAAATGTCAAGAGGAAGCCAAGTTGTAGAAATCTGATCCAGTTAGACACCCCGCAGGTCCAGATATGCAGGTCAGGAACTCAGTGAGTGCCAAAAACTGCCATTACCCTGAGCTGAATTTATCTCTGTTGGGTAATGAACCAACAACCCCAGTCTTTCCAAAAATATATGTGAACTATTCCAGTTTTACTAATAACTTTATTTAAATAAGACACAGGAACTTCTATACTGAAAAAATACAAAACAAAAGCCACACATTTCCTTGTGTAAAGCCATATTGTATGGTAACTCAAATACTGTTCAGCGCAGTGGCTAGAATTAAACAGTACAATTATATACAAAATTTAAGCAATTTCTGACAAATTTCTACAGCTGGATGTAGGATACATTTGAGCTCAACAACTTCTGGGAAATTTACATGGCAAAGCGTAAGCTTTAACACATTTGCTTCAAAACTTTAATATATGCTAAGAACAAATGTACAACACAATTAATATTTAGTATCTCATGAGAAAATAAAAGCACATGTCACTATAAATATCGTACATCAGATTTAATCACCAAAAAAGCATATTCAGTCAATTTTTCTGAAATTGATATTGATACTATTGCATTTTATTTGGACAAAAGCAGACCAAAAGATCAACATATTATGTAATGCTAAACCAGATATCAGAAGTTAAATGGAGCTCATATTTATCTTACGGAACTAGTAATTTTCTCCCTTTAACCATAATCTACAAAATATAATATTTTCATGAAGGCCTGAGATTATTAGGGTTAAAGGTATCTGCTGCTGAAAAGATTATTTTAAAAGGTTCCCCTGTGAAAATGGCAAAAGTAAACTGAGTCCTTTTTTCCATGACAGTCTCCTACTATATAACACTGACTAATTTAAAGGAGCCAGAATGCACCTTCAGGAGAAAATATTACGGCAAACTTTGGTGGAAAGAAGAGAATTGGGATTATGACAAAATAATACACATACACACACACAAACATATACATATATATAATTTCTTAAAAAAAAAATCAATGGTGTTGCTTTCTTCTCTATCACCTCATCCTTCTTCAACCTTCTTAGAAAATGAACAAAACAGAGAAAAACCCAGGAATGAATGAAGGGAACTGAAACGTTCCTTTAACTGTAGGCACCTTATTCCCCTAATTCTTAAGAAAATTGTGCCATACACCTTAGGTGCAGATGAAACAACTCTAGGTTTTACTGAACTGAAAGCAGTGGAATACAAATACAAAATCTTCACTTTGTTTTTGGATACTCTCTTTGTGCTGAAGAAAACGATGAAAGTTAGGCTCTCCTGCTTGACCGGTCAGGAATACCTAGGGCTCTCGTCACACTTAGTGAATAACTTATGTCAAAAGTCTGCAAGTTCAAGGATATTTTCTTGAGTTTATGCTCTACACACATCGTAAATTTCAAAACTATTCATGATTGTGTATTATGAGAGGCTTAAATGAGATAGCTTCAAACTAGTGCTCTTTTAAGTTACCAAAAAACCTGCTTATTTATGTTGCATCAGTTCTGAGACCCAACTATTCTATGCAAACGCAGGTCATGCACCTAAACTGGAAAACAATAGCCAAAAGTATGTCAGTTTTTCACCTGCAAAACAAAGAATTTCCAAGAGAGAAACTAAACATAAATATGTCTTTAGATTAAATGGTAACAGTTATGACCCGGATGGCCAACATAAAAAAGTCTCAACCATCCCTTCAAACGCTTGCTTTGAAATTAAATCTAGACATTCCTGTCTTTAAATTTCATCACACACAATGTGGAATGTTTAGGTACAGTCTAGTACTGAACACTTTATTTGCAACGTTGTAAAAGTCCTTTACTGAGCAACACCTGAACTTTTGAAAAAGCCACATGTACACATGTTGAAACAGTGAATGCAACAGTTGTTTTACTTGTAACCACATGACAAAATGATGTCAAACACCACAGATTTGCTGGTTCTCCTCATGTTCACCCATGTCCAGGATTATCATTCTCCTAGGATTGAATGCACTTCTTATTCTAAGAATGTGGAATGTAATGAGGAAAGGGAAATGCACAAAATAAGGAAAGGCAAAAGAGTGATGTTCCCTCTTTAGCTTTTTAGCTGTGAAATATTTAATATCCCAATATGATATACATTCCAAGTTACCTGAGTTTAGACTTCAACTGAAGTACCTGAAGCTAGGCCATAGGGTGGGCACTGTGCAACTGTTGTGGCCATTTTTTTTTTTTTTTTTTTTTTATTGTGTTTTTTTTTTTTTTTTTTTTTTTTTATTTTTTTTTTTTTTTTTTTTTTTTTTTTTTTTTTTGCATTGTATGTATTACAGAAGTTAGAAACAAACACCTGGGTCAATTGTAAACATAATCCTGAAGTACAGTATTTTCCATAGGACAAAACACAGCAAGACATTTTCTATTTAGACAGGCAACTTTTTGATATAGAGCTTATTTATACCGAAGAATCTGGAACAAAACACAGGACAAAGTACTAGTCTCTCAAACTTACTATGAAATGCATAGTCTCCACTTAAAATGCTGAATGACACACACGTTTTGCAAGCATTACTGCTTTCCACAAAAACTGCTGAATAGGAGTTCCATCCCTGCCAAGATCAGTGTTAAGAGATATTTTATGATGCTGATAAGTATTGGTGGTGGTGGTGGTGTTCAGAAAGTTTGTCACTCCATGCAGATAGATGTCTGAAATCTTGTTTCTAATCCATGGAAGGTAGGGTGGAGGCCAGCTCCCCCTTTTTTTAGATGATCACATAGTTCTGGGCAGAGATGTGGTCCTCACCCTGCAGTTCCTGCAGGAGCTGCTGCTGCTGGGATGGCTGCTGGGCAGAGGCCTCCGTGGAGGCGGCTGTGCTGGTGTCATCAGAAAGAGACGTAAAGGAAACCCGGGATGAGAGCTGCTCAACGGTCAGAGTTGCCAATGCTGAGCTCTGGCCAGAGTTAGGAGAGTTCTTGAGCATAAGGTCGGAAGCCGGTAAGAGAGGGCCTAGAAGTTTTACAGGACAGAAAGCTGATCCGGTTGGGATGAAATTAACCTTGTTTTTGTCAGGACATGAAAAGAGAGGGGCCGAGATAGGCTGACGAGACCTAAAACCATAAAACAAAATTAGATTTATAATCACTAACACAGAAAAATTTAAGCATTTTCTGAATTAACTGGAGTTCTCTAAAACAGCTAAAATATGAATGGCAGGGGATGGGTTAAGTGTATACAGAGGGGTAAACATCTTCCATAGCACAAGTCAGCTGGCAGGCTATTCAAGCACACAGCACTGAAGTGGTATCTGAGACAAAAGGATTTTCAAAAGAACCAGAAAGACAAATATTTAGAGATCATTATTTAGTTTTTAATCATTTGGAAAGGTGGAGAAGTCTGTTACATTATAATTGAAGATTACACAAAGTTAGAATGACCTTTTCTGTTAAGAAAAAGTATACTGGAGGTGGGGGGCATTAGTCCATCATGTATTTAGTTTTAAATACTTCCTCCTTTTTTCTCTCTAGATATACTTCCATTAGCACAGATGGGGGATGGAGTGGGAAGGGGAGAGTTTCAGTGGTCTCTCAAAAAGCCAGTCAGTTCAACAGAGCTTGGGTCCACAAGCCCTTCCTCTCCTCCTATTCCCAGGAGCTAAACCATCAGCTCCTGCAAGATGGATCCTTCCAGGTTGCAGGAGTACAGCACCCTCCACTAGGCACCTGCACTGGAACAAAGGCATGAGTGCATCCAAGAACCACATAGTCTTCTTTTGAGCTACTCCACACAGTGTTTGCAGCATGAACCTCTTTTTCTAGTTTCACTTCTAACTTACACATACTGAAATTTCATTAAGAAAACAAAACCTCTTGTGAACAGAAAGTCTGAATATAAGCAAGCTTGATGTGGCTACAGGGAAGGAGGCTAATCTTCTGGCTTGTAGGGTACACTGTCTTTAAGCTAGTCACCCATGGATACTGACTTTGCTCCTAACGTCTCTTTGTTAGTTATCTAAATTAAGAGTTCTTGAAATGACAATTCTTAATGATTAAAAATAGATCTTTCAGGTAATAAGTTTCCAAGTTTCTTTGTATTGGCTTACACATTTCGAGCATACAGACTCCAATTCTCCGTCAATAAGATCTCTCTTGCCTATTCAATTCTCTTTACATTATTTGCTGTTGAAACGCATTATCAGCTGGATAGAGTAGTTGATTCATATGTAATCAACTGGTCTCAGTAAAAAGCTTTACAGCTTTGCAGACAGATCCCAGCTGACAGAAAAGACATTACTTACGCCATTTCCTCAAAGACCTTCACTCGCTCACATCCCTCTGGGGGCTCCCGTTTGAACATGTAGCTGTTGTTTGGTTTGGGAGATGAAGCATACTTGGGTAACGGTGAGCTACTCCCACTGTCTGTAAATTTAAAGCAGTTATATTAACTAGTGATTGAAAGCTCTATTAAATTAAATTTGATTTCCAAACAGCCTTTTGCACACTTTATCCACTACTGCCCCTATGCTTTGACCACAGTCTCCTTCATTGCAAAGCTATTTCTTACACCTTGTATAGTACATTCGTCTAAATAAAAACTTCAGTGCAACAGTAATCTGCCATACCAAAGAACATAAAAAGAAGGACATTTTGGTCCAGAAAACTGCATTTTGAATACAACAGAGCTGCCATCCTGAAAACAAATATGTTATTTATTATGTATTTCAAGAATGCAAATGATGGGCCAATGTGCTTAAGTCATAAAGAATAAAACAGATTACAATGATACAGGGTTCTCTACATGCCTTTTCACTGTAAAACCGATTTAATGAAAATGAATAATATTCATTACGAAAGTTCTTAGCAGAAATGTTATTTTTGCTAAATATCATGAATAACACATACGTAGGGGAAAAAAACAAGTTTATAAAATGTCTATCTTCCCAGCATAAAAAACATAATTTGCTCAGAATTTTACCTTTAAAATGTTTATAATAAAAGGGCTTTTTCAGCAGAGTTTGTATTTTTTGCTACTAGAAGACATGAGACATCTCCAAACATCTCTACCTAACATGTTTTCCTCATAGTTTTGGCCAAAAAGAAAATGGTCTATTCATGAAAAGCCATAAAACCTATATGCAATTTCTCCCTTTCCTACCTGGCAAGAGATGTTGGAAATTCAAATCCACTAAAATGTGTCATTATCTCTGTGAGATGCCAAGTTGTAAAGTCAGTAACATGTTTGTATACAATAGTCCTATTTAAACAAATTCTGACTTAATACAAACCAATCCCCACTGCTAAAATACTAAGCACATAATCTACTGAAATATATTATTTTATTCTATTTGAAAGACTGCACTAGTATCATATTTATCACAATTTTGTTAAGTTGCTTTAGTTTAGAATACAGAGTACAGTACCATACTCAGAGACTGAGTAATAAGAATGTTTTATCATCATTAATAAAGTTATAATACATGCTTAGGAAGAAGACCCTTGATGTACACTAATACTTGTTAGTCTTGTGAATGCAGATCTATGCTTGTATTTGAACATGGCTATACTTCTGGCTGGAAAACCACTGTCTGGAAAATAAAAAGGTCACATTATTGGGAAAGCTAGAAAACCACAGTTTCTCTATCCTTAACTACAGAGCAGGCACCAAATAGCCTCTCGGAAAAAATTAAGTCTTAGAATGAAGTTTGGTTTCTTCCTATACCATTCAGATTTGAGAATTTTCTTAAGTTTAATACTTATCTTGTATCTTACGTAAACAAATGGGAGGAAGGAGGTGAAACAGGATTGTATCTCTTAGGATGATAAAAAGCATAATTAGCCTGATTGGAGGTCTGAATTTGCAGCTCTATTTGAGCTAGACTACTAGACTAGATAAGAGTGGTTCATGATAAAAACAAACAAAAAAAACCACCTGATGAGAATAAGGCCTCAAATTTGGTGTAATATAAAAAATACATCTTGACCTTACCTTACTATGCAAACAGCAACAAGCCAGGCAAAGGAAATATGAGATCAAGAATACAAGTAAGTAGAAAGGATGGAAACCCCATTCTTCATGATGTGCTTATTTTACACTACATACTATCAAAACATCTCTTGTAGCCCATAATATATACACCTACTATGTATCCACAGAAATTTAAAACATACAAGTAGATATGGCATGAGACGACTTCATGGAGATTACTGCTGAGCATAACTTAGCCTACATGGCACAAGCAGCATCAGCCTCAAACCACGGGCTTGATGCCATCAGTAGTCATGTCAGTAGTTAAGGATCCGCCCTACTATCACGTAAGAAAAGTCATCTTGGCCACAGTTAATTGTTTTCTGTGTTCTTTTTCTCACTACAACATCAGGCCTACCACATTATTTCTCTCACTATTTTACTGATGGTTTCAAAGGCTAGATGTGAGCTGCCTAATCTAGCTGCTATCTTCCTATTAACAATTTAGAATGAAGTAATTTTTCTTCTTAAAATATTTCCAATTTCAGACACTATAAGTGTATTTTTTAAGAGAATTTTACCCTTTTAAACGTTACTGTTCTGCTTTTTTGGGGGGTGTCACTAATGTTAAGTAAACACATATACTGCTATCCCAGACAGACAGCTTTCAGTGTTATTTTTCTGCCTTTTCAATAAAAATTGGGTTTTTTTTTGGTTGAATATATGTTTATATTTAATGTTAGGTGGTCTGGAAAGGCAAAGCTTAAAAGAAAAAAATATTTGCTAAATCTGGAGTTTTTCTTCAGGTAAGTATACAATCAGAGAGACGATAAAGAGGGGCCAGGGAATGGAGACACCTAGTCTGCGGTTTTAGCTTTTATTGTATAGTTCTATGTTACCTGGAATACAACCACCTTTCTGGATTTCTATATAATTAAAGGAACTGCCACTCATGAACTCTAAAATTCTGTGATTTTTCTTTAATAGTTCTAACATACAAAGAAGGCATATTTTGTAGCCGGGCGTGGTGGCTTACTCCTGTAATCTCAGTACTTTGGGAGGCTGAGGAGAACGGATCACGAGGTCAGGAGTTTAATGCCAGCCTGGTCAATATGGTGAAACCCAGACTCTACTAATAATAAAAAAATTAGCCAGGCATGGTGGCATGCGCCTATAATCCCAGCTACTTGGGAGGCTGAGGCAGGAGAATCACTTGAACCCAGAAGGCGGAGGTTGCAGTAAGCCAAGATAACACCACTGCACTCCAGCCTGGGTAACAGAGCAAGGCCCTATCTCAAAAAAAAAAATATATATATATATATTGCCTATATATGTTTTCTTGCCTTACAAAGTGGGATGCTTTAAAAACAACACATATTGGCTGGGTGTGGTGGCTCACATTTGTAATCCCAGCACTTTGGGAGGCCAAGGTGGGCGGATCACGAAGTCAGGAGTTTGAGACCAGCCTGTCCAATATGGTGAAACCCTGTTTCTACTAAAAAATACAAAAATTAGCTGAGTGTGGTGGCACATGCCTGTAGTCCCAGCTACTCAGGAGGCTGAAATAGGAGAATCGCCTGAACCCAGGAGGCGGAAGTTGCAGTGAGCCAAGATCCTGCCCCTGCACTCCAGCCTGGGTGACAGAGTGAGACTAGGTCTCAAAACCAAAACAACCCTCCCACCCCCACCTCCCACAAAAAAAAAAAACAAACTGTCACATATGGCCAACCTATGCTACTCATTCCAGACTTGAATGTATAAAATGTTACTATTCATTTAAAACTCTGTGTTGAATTTAATAGCCACATTTCAATATAGAATATTATAAACATAAATATGCCTGCTCAGGAGATTCAAGATAAGAAAGACGTCTCATGGTAATTTTAATTCAATCTCTTTTGTTTACCAGTATACCAAGTTTTCTCATTCTGTTATCCCAGATATTAATACCGGATCATAACTAGAAATACATTTGAGATTAGGTTAAATATTACTTTATGACTTTTAACATCACAGCCAATGTCAATTAATAAAATTAAATGCAGTGAATTCTTTACGTATCTTTCTATATTTGCAAGTCTCATTTACATATATTTATAACAGAATCACTCAACTCTGAAAATCAAGAATATGGAAAAATGTGATTGCTATTGTATATAACAGATCATACATATGCATTTGTACCATATTTACCATTAAAATACAATTAGCTTGTCAAATACTTTTAAACATATAATGAATTAAAGCTTTGAAAAATTAGAGAAGTTATTAAAGTTTGGAATTTCATATAGAAACAATATTCATTAAACTACATGTACTTGTATAGCTTGAGTTTTCTCAATTTCTCCTTATAAATGACCTTTATTATATCTGGTATATTATAGTGTGTGGCCCACAGTTCTTGTATGAAAAATTATACATTTGATCACACAACTGCACTCCAGCCTAGGTGACAGAGTTGAGACCCTGTCTCAAAAGAAAAAAAATATTGCATATATAATGGTTGATTGATTTATGCAGGCAGTATGTCAAATCTCTGCCATGGTTCTATTCTAGCCCTAAGTCTATACATATGCTTTATCTCTATCAGATTACTTTATCAAACTAAGTAAAATTAATTCTAAAACAAGAAATAATAGAATAGTGGTTTTAACCAGAGTTTCTTTCACATTAGACTCATCAGAAGATGTTTTAAAAAGATCAATCTCTAGACCTCATTCCTGAAAGACTCTGATTTAATTAGTCTGAGGAGAAGCCAAGCATTGCCTTGGGGTGGGGAGGTGGGGGTAAAGCTCCCAAATGCAAACTGAATTGCCACTCATGAACTCTAAAATTCTGTGGTTATTTCTTTAATAGTTCCAACGTACAAAGAAGACATTTTGTGGCCAGGTGCGGTGGCTCACAGCCATATTTGAGAATCAATTATGAAAAGGTTATGAACATTGGTGTAGAGTGAGGCCACCTGACTTCTTCCTAGACCTAACTGCATGGCATAGGGTAAGTCTGATCCCTCTGTTTTTTGATCTATAAAACAGAAAATACAACTGATATGACAGCTGTGAAAAATATATGTAAAAGAATTAGGATAAGGGCTGGGTGAGGTGGCTCACAACTGTAATCCCAGCATTTTTGGAGGCTGAGGTGGGAGGATGACTTGAGGCCAGGAGTTCAAGACCACCTGGCCAACATGGTGAAACCCTCTCCAAAAAAAAAAAAAAACAAAAAAAAAAAACCCAAACCAAAAAACAAAAAGGATTAGGATAGTGCCTGAAATACAGTAAGCTCTGAATATTATTATCATAGTAAAACGTAACATATCATTTCTAATTTGAAAATTAAAAATGAACCATTAAAAAAATTACGTGCCTATTCTGCTCCCTCTTGACAGAATAGAGTAAAGGAAATGTTGTTTTTAATAGATTTATGCACTCTAACTCTACTCAGGTACATACAG